TGATTTGATTAAGGTTGTAATTGAGTGATTACATTCTGCTGGGAATTGTTGTTGAACTCTGTCATTGTAAAAATGAGCTTAGAACTATATTATGCTAGGTATTGATGTTTGCATAGGCTGTCTATTCCCAACATGAACGTTGGTGAGAAAATGTCAGCGGAGATCACTATCTCTATGTTGCTGATAGCACGTTTCTCGGCCTGGAATGTCTTTGATTGAAATAAATATGAGTGCATTAGATTGTACTTAAAAGTAGCTAGAAAGTTACTTTTCTGAAAGTATGTATGTATCTTTTGAATTACTTTTAAGCACAATCACCTCATAAAATGATTGACTGAATGTTCACTATAATTTAAAGTAGGATAACCAAAATTGAATCTTTTTTTTTTTTTGCTTCAGTTTAATAAGTTTACCTTGAATATGGATTGAGTTCACTTTTTATTGTTATGATTCAAAAACATTTATCCCAGAATTACAATCCTTCGAAATGGAATGATTATGAAATAACCAAGTAATTGTTTAACTAATGATGGATTTCATGCCATGGAACGAATTGGGGAACTAAGGAAGCTAACATTACAGACACGAGTTCCCATTAAAGCAATTGTAGCAGCTCCGGCATCAGTTGGCTTTGCACCTTATATCTATTAATGTCTACGGATATTAAGTTGTAAGTTTTTTCCATTTCTTCCCTTGTATTCTTTAGGGTAGTATTAATTACAAACTCATCAACATCTATAAATTCTTGAATCAAGCTTCTTTATTTCCATGAATGCTATTTATCATAGTTTTTGTTATTTTGTGACCCAAATTCAGTTGGACACTTGTGGATTGGTTAAAAGAGGTGTTAAAGAGGTATTAACAGTTTTGGGGCAGAAATTGGACGTTTGGAATCAATTTGGACCAAATCTCAGATCCTGGGCACCATTGGAGGCTTGCCGTCGTCGGTCGCCTACCGCCCGTCTAATGCTCAAGCACTCCACGCCGCTCGTTTGGCATGAGGCTGCCGCTCGAGCATTGTATATATCCAGGAAAAATTGTTTCCTTCTTTTCATGCGGTTTTTGATCCTCTTTCCAATCATAACATATTCTTTTAGGTCCAGTCTACGTGATTCTTGGCTTTCTTATGACCTTGAGAGAGTTAGAATTGTATTAGCTATACAATATTTCGCATTCTTTTTCCATATTAATAAAATTCTTCATTCCTCTGCCAATTATTCTTGTATTGTGATTGCTACCTCATATTGTGCCATATAATCTCGTTTCTCTATTCTTAAAAAGTGGTTCTAACAGCTTTTTACTGAACTAGAAAAGGAGCATGCATGTTGCACATGCATAACTATATAATTTCATCCTCAGAAATGGATTCTCGTGATATAAATCTGAATTATCCCTCAAGGTGTAAGTGATAGATACTTCTTATAACCGGGTCAATTAATGGGAAAAACTGAAAAAAAAAGAACAAAAAATCACAATGCATCCAGCCCCAGGGCACTCAAGCCACTTTTCATTGAATTTTGCAATCAAGAATTACACCCACAAAACTTAGAAAAATAGTTTTTTACACTGAAATATCCCTAAATTTGAGCCTCTGATTACGCAGAAATTTAAATTAAATCCTCTATATATTTTTTTTCCTTTACAACAAACTAATGAACTGATCTGATGGTGCATTCCAGTAATTGGTTGAGTGCAACTAATCAATAATTTGAGGCAATTGTACTGATATCCCTGGTAAAATGCAACCTAATATTTTTGTTCTTAGCCCTCTCATCTGACGGTGAGTTTGGTTTTTGGACAATGAATAGCCCGTTGACTATCAAATTGGGTTATAAACAGTTATCTCATTACTGCCTGTTCTACCAAAACCACCCATGAGACCCAAGTCGGTAAAGCGAATTCTCAAAATCCCTATATCTAAATCTGTAGCAATAGGGTTATGATTTGGTAATAAGCCATTTTGACCACTACTAGTAGATAAAATAATTTCTTTCATTTTCTGAATCCCAAACAATTCAGTTAGAGGTCAGTACACA